CTCATCTATCCAGTTGGTCCACTCCTTCGCAATTGGTGTGGGTATAACTTCATCCCACCCAAGACCTTTCTTACACAGATCCTGCAAGATTAGTTTGGCTTTTAGAACCACTGGCACAAGTACTCCAATTGGATCGTATATTGAACTGACCACAGACAAAAGTCCTCTACGGGTCAAAGGCCGATCTTGGATTGAGATTTTGAATCTGAATGCATCTGATTGCACGCACCATTCTACACCCAGTACTCTTTCAACAGGAAGTAGGCCATGGTCCAAATCCATGTCCTTTATGTCCTCTGCCCTGTTCTCTTCAGGGATTGCACCCAATACAGTTCGACTGTTACTCATCCACTTCTTTAGGTTGAATCCTCCTCTGGCACAAATGGCCTGAAGGTTGTGATAGAGTGCAATAGCCTCAGATTCAGAGGGAACTGAAACAAGACAGTCGTCCACATAGAAGCTGTGCATTATGGTATCCACCACCTGCTCACTGAAGGAGTTTCTGTTATCCTCTGCACATTTTTGCAGAGCAAAATTTGCACAGCTTGGCGATGAGGTTGCACCAAAAAGATGGACACGCATCCTGTACTCCACCATGGGTTGAGAGACGTCCCCTCTTGGCCACCAGAGAAACCTTAGCATGTCACATTCCTCAGCTGGTACATGCACCTGGTGGTACATAGCCTCAATATCTGCTATCAGCACGATGGGTTCTTTCCTGAATCTGGTTATGATGCCAATCAATGAGTTGGTAAGATCAGGTCCTTGTAGCAGCTGTGCATTGAGTGATGTACCTTGGAATGATGCAGCACAATCAAACACCACTCTAATCTTCTTCTTCTGTGGGTGATATACCCCATGATGTGGGATGTACCAAACTTTGCCACTGTTGCAAATCAGATTCTTTGCAGGCACCTTTTCAGCATAACCACAGGAAATGATGTTATGCATATAGGTCGTATAATCCTTGTGAAATATGGCATCTTTTTGGAACCTTCTTTTGAGATTCAAAGCACGTTGTTCTGCTAGCTTTCGGTTATTAGGCATGTATACATTCCTGTTCTTTAATGGCAAACCAATTGTGTAGTGACCATCCACCAGCTCAACAGTGCCTTTCACCATTTCCATAAACTGGCAATCTTCTCTTGATGGACCCAGTTGTTCTTCATGGCTGCATTCAGGGAAGTCTAGCTGGAACTGTTGTTTCCACAATTCATCCAATTTCACTACAGAGATACGGTTAGTAGTGATGCTGGGTTGATTGCAGTCAGCTTCCCCAAATACTGGTCCATTAACAGTCCATCCTAAAAATGTCTGAACAGCATATGGCCCTCCATTCTCACTTGGAATCACTTTTATTGGTTCCAGTGCTCTGGGTGCATTTAAGCCAATCAAAAGCTCAACATCTGCTTCAATTTCAGGTAGATGTACCCCTCTCAGATATGGCCACCTGAGCAGATCCCGCTCCAGTGGTATATTACTCCTGCACACAGGCATTTTCTTTTGTGTAAAAACATCTGGCAAGTCACAATAGAGGTCACTTTCCAAGCCAGCAACTTCCAGACCAGATACAATATAGCTTCCTACAAGCTTTTCCTGGCCCATAGTGCGTAGAAGAATTTTAGTTCCTCTTCCAGAAACATTTAACTTGTTCATCAGACTTGATGTACAGAATGAACCAGAACTGCCTTGGTCCAAAAAGGCATATGTTTCCACAATTTTTTGGCCCTTTTTAGATTTCACCTTGACTGGCACTATGGAGAGTTTGCAGTCTTGGTCACCGGCCCCAGTAAGACCACTACTTTGCACTGCCACCAGAGAACCACCCACAGCTGCGTCTTGCTTTGGCACACCTTCATGACCTGCAACTTGATCCTTATTCTTTGAGTGAATATGAAGCATGCTAGGGTGTTTAGCTCCACATGTTTTACATGTCAGTCTCCTCTTGCAGTCTTTACTTATGTGCCCTATGCACAGACAGCCAAAGCAGACCCCATGCTCTCTGAGAAAAGTGATTTTCTCTTTATGTGTTCTTTTTTCCAATAGAGAACACAACTCCAACGCATGTTCACTCTTGCAGTAAAGGCAGGTCTTTTTGTCAGTTTGGACTTTCTCTTTTTTTACTTGGCTCTTTCCATCAATCGCTGCTACAGTAGTGGCAAAACTACTTTTTTGTTTTCGTGTTCGACATTGGTAGTTATCTTTGCTACCATCTCTTTGCATGATCTTTACAGTGTCCTGTATGTTGCCAAATACAGGGTCTGTCACAATCTTTACCTGACGTTCAATGAAGTTCACAATGTCAGAAAAATTAGCTCTTCGCTGACTGGTTTCTTGAATATCACACGCTACTGACCTCCATTTGTCTCTTAGCTTGTATGGCAACTTCTTGATCACCATCAGCATGTTAGAAGGCATGTTAAGCTCAGACATGTACTCTATGCCATCCATTGCATTGCAGCATCCTCTTAAAAAGAGACCATATGCTTGAAGAGATTTAACATCCTCTGCTTTAACCACAGGCCAAGAGAACGCTTTATCCAAATATGCAGATGCAATCTTTTGTTCATTCCCAAAATGTTGTTCCAACAATGCCTTTGCCTTCAGATATCCTCTTTCTGGAGGCATTTGTTGACAGCTTCGAACAAGCTCTCGTGGTTCTCCCCTTGTGTACTGAGCCAGAAAGTGCAAACAGTCTTCACTGTCTTCTGTTCGCCTTTCTACATTGTGCTCAAAGGCTCTCATAAAAGCATGATAGTGAATTGGATCTCCATCAAACACCTGGATATCTCGTTTTGGCAAATGAGAAATGTTATGTTGTTGTGTGAGTAAAGCAGAGATTTCATTTTGCCTTGCCATTATAGATAGCAAATTGTTACCATCAACATTGACTGGCAGCTGGGTATGTGACGTGACACTTAACTGAGAATTTAGAATGTTATTTGACACATTAGGTCCCATCAGGTGTCCAGTTTGACTCTGCTGGGGTATTTGAGATCCAACATCAGGATTAAGTTTTCTTCCACTTGACTTTGTCAGATGAGGCTTGAGTGTGGTATGAGCGTCATACCCTCCTTGGCCACCAGGCACAAATGAATTAGCTTCAACATTAAGAGCAGCACAAGCCCCTTTGGCCACATAGGATTCTATGCCACTTAATTTTATACTTTTGCTGCCTTTCACACTGCTTCCTGAGACTCTTAGAACCTCCATCTTAGCTTGAGCAGCAGCTATTTCCATCTCAAGCGCAAATCTTTCTTTCTTTTTCTTGATTTCCTCTTCTTGGTGGTCCAGCTCTTGCTTTTGTTTGAGTAATTTCTGTCTAGTAAGAAGAGCAGCTATTTCAGCTTCTGCTTTGATGTGAGAAGATGAAACAGAAGAGGTTGAAGTTCTTGAGGTTCCACTTTTTGATCCATGTCTTCTGCTTCCAACATTTGAGATGCTGTCATTTGGTTGAATTTCATCCTGTTGCATGTCTATTCTTTCAGGAAAGCCTTCCTGTCCTGTGTCTAAGGACACTTTAGCATCAAGCTGAGGCTCGTGTAGTGACAAACATGGTGGCTCTTCACATTCTTTGTTTTGTTTACCAACCACAGAATCATTTGTTGCATGTCTTAAGGATGGTGCATTTGTTTCAGAGATCCATTGTTTTACATCCTCAATAAATCCCTTGTTATATTTATTGATACTTTCAAACCACACTTTTTGCTTGTCCTTTTCCTCCTGAGGAATTATTTCCATCAGTGACGTATGCAGAGAAATTGTCTCCTCATGCAAATGCATCAACTTGTCCAACTCAGTTTCCACCTGAGAAACATCAACATTCCTCTCTATGAGCTCCTTTAAAGCAGTGATGAGGCCTTTTATTTTATTCACTTTTGCTTTGCGTTCTTTCTGCAGTGTTTCCATTTTCCATATCAAGGCCTTTTCAGTAGGAAAAGTTTTCCTTTTAACCACTTCATTGCAATGAGTGTCATTTACTTGTGAACCAGCCTTTGATCCACTCATATTGATGCCCAACAAATAATGCAACACAGAATTTCAGAAAGCAGGTTTCAGTCCACAAGTCAAACAGGGTTGCGTTTTTTGGCATAAATCTGCATCCATACATGAACAATCCAATATTGCATGTACACACTTTGATTCAGGCTTAAGCATCAGCAGTAACAGCATCAAACATCCAAATCCAACTTTACTTTGATATGCACAGAGTGATCCACAGTTTCCACAAGTTAATTCAGTCTTGAGTAATATAGCTGAATGATATAACCAACAGCCACAGCATCTATGCATCCAAATACGCAGTGGTAACCAGCATCAACTGTGTCCAAAACAGATATGATCTTCACAGTATGAATAAACTGAATCCAACATACCACAGGTTGTGCTGTGCTCCGTCTTTTCATTCACATTTACTCACAGTTTGCGTCCAAAAAGGCTGAGTGGTCCATTGTCTTACGTGCACAGTTCAATCAAAGTGTTGGATCTTTTGTCATTTCTGTTGACAATGTAGGCGACTATCATCCAAAAAAATAGTCACTGAGAGGAGAGCAGGGATCTGTTCGACGCGCTGAATCCAAGGAGGAAACATAAAGCTTTTCTGCAGTTAGGAATGTTTATTGTACTCTTTTTCTGTGAGGCATTGTACAACAGGTTGATTTGCAGACTTATTTGCTTTAAACTTGCGGTCAACAGAAATATTGGCACCCTGTCTTAGCCTCTCTCTGAATCAAACAAACAAAACCGCCTCAGAGCAGATCCAGGTGATATTAATTAGACAATCACTCAGACACATGCCAACACCCACTTATAGCTCCACCCACACATGCCCATACATACCTTTAACACATGCAGCCTACCCTTAGAGACATTACCAAAATGAATCCTTGCCTCTACACTCTGTGTCTGTGTTAAGTGATCTGTGATTTCTTTCAGTGGAGTTTCAATTCATGTTTGACTGAGGAAGGTTTTTGTACAACTGTTTATCACTGTGTGAACACCACAGAAAACTCTGCAGTACAATAATAAACTGCATCATCTTCAGCTAGAATCTCACTGATAGTCAGAGTAGAGTCAGACTTTGATCCACTGCCTTTAAACCGAAAAGGAGTCCCTGGTGCTCGAGAGCTAGGACCATAATTGAGCAGCTTGGGAGTTTGTGCATCTTTCTGTTGATACCAGACTAAACGATTAGAGTTATAGACACTCTGACTGGGCTTACAGTTGATGCTGACAGATCCTCCCAGACGGGCTCTTACTGCTGCAGGTTGAGTCACTGTGTCCTGACCTCTTGATTCTGATGACATGGAGAGAAGAACATGAAGCAGCTTCATGTTTTTTTTTTTTTTTTTTCATTTCAGAGGGACAGATGTTCATAGAGGAGAGGAGTTTGATTCTCTGGACTTTACCTGTGAAGCAGCAGCAGAGGAGAGTCCAGATGAGGACGCAGATCAAAGTCATGTTTTTGATGAGGAGGATTTCTGTGTCTTCTGTTGTCATGAATGACAGCTGTCAGTCATCCAGTGTTCAACTCTCAGGACTATAAACTCTCCCAGAGCGCTGGAGCATGGAGCTGCTGATGCAAAGTGGCTTTATGGAAATACTCTGACTGACTCCTACAGAGATTTCTGGTCAACAGTCATAAAAAAATATTTTTGTTATACTGCTGTATACATGCTATAAAAAACTTTCCGAGACAATTTTTTTACACTTTAAATCATAGAAAAAGTTATAGTTTAAAAATTAGAATGTTATATGCACTAGTTTTTGATGCCATAGGTCCATATCTGACAAGCAAGTGCTGTTGCTGAAATTGGCATAGAAATTAAATCAAACTTTGAAGTAGATATATGTAGCTGGAGAAAAAGAACTGACTAACACTGTAAATACTGTATTAACTAAGGAGTGGCTTTCTTCAATAACAGAGCTTAATAATGAACTCTTTTAAAACCAAACCTTCAGTATCACATTGTCAGGGTTAGTGGATATTTCTTGAAACAGCTATAGGGCAAACGAAAGGGGCAACCAAAGAGTAAACAAGCTTAACTAAAACTAGAAAAAGCTGTTTCGGAGAAACATCAAAGTGGGAATGCTTTTGCTGAATGAAAAAAGCTGAAATTAACTGCAGAACATATAAAAATGTGATAGGAAGTCATCAGAAACTTCAAACTGCAGAAAACAATTGAATCATCTGAAGATTTTGTAGGGTAGAATCATTTGGCAGTAAAATGGCACAAACAGACTCATCTTAAAAGCTTCAATTTTAACGGAAAACATGAAGTGTTTCCATAAAAAAATTAATCAGTAGAACCAAGTTCTAACAATTAAAACAGATAAATACAATGAGGAGAACAATTTAATGTGGAAAGAAAGTAACAAAGGATCTGTCCTGTGTAAAGTGGCAAAACTAAACCTTTTAAATCCAAATGAAATTACGATTTAAGATGCAGCTGGACATTTATTTAACTTTTTAATATATGAAGTTTAAAAAAGTTGACATTTAACTTGAGTTCACTTCTTTGAAATAGCTAAAGGGTTTATTGCAAAACATTGATATAAGATGTAAAAAATACAAATATAATCTCTTCAATTATGTTTCATATTTTATTAAAAACAAAAAAACATTTTACTAAAGCATGACAAATTAGTTTAGAATGCAGTAATCGCACAATAACTTGCACAAACTATAATTGGTTATTCAAAAAAACCAAAGAATAATCATATCAATTATTAATATAATATTCAGAAATTTATTTCAATAATTTGGAAAGGATGGTTTTATAAAGAAAAAACATATTTCAAACATGAAAGTTCACATCAATCCAGCAACACATCTGCTCAAATAAATATGTGAATTTTTAAAAAACAATTTCAAGAAAAAAACCATAAAAGAATAATCATATAAATTATTGATATAATATTCAGAAACTTATTCTAATGAATTTAGAAAATAAGCATGGTTTTATAAAGAATAAAATGCATTGCAAAGACGAAAATTCCCATCAATCCAGAAGCACATCTGCTCAAATAAATATGTGAATAAAAAAAAAAAACAATTTTAAGAAAAAAAAAAACATAAAAGAATAATCATCTAAATTATTATGATTTTTTTTAACAGTGTCCTGTCTGGCAATGTGGCAAAAAGAATAATTGTCTTGATGCCAAAACTAGCCCAACAGATTTTACTTTCACAAGTGTAGCAGTATGGCAATTGCCTTCTAACTCCACTTGTTTCATGCATATAAATTGCTTTATTATAATTATGCAGGGAGTTTTACAGTTTATATGGACATTGCAATGTAAATAGAGCAGAAAAACAGAAGAAGAAAAGGAAAAATGAAAAAAAATGAAAGAGGAGATAGAAAGGAGATAATGACAAAACATTTCTAGTCTGCTTCATCACCTGCAACGAGATGAAAAAAGAACAGCACAACCGAAAGACATGGTACGAGATATACAATAAAGCAACACCTTGAAACTATTGCTGAAGTAGTATTAAGTCTGACATGTACTCTTTGTCATATAAATTATTAATGTAATATTCAGAAACTTATTTTAATGAATTTAGAAAGAAAGCATGGTTTTAAAAAAAATAAAACACATTGCAAAGATGAAAATTCACATCAATCCGGCAGCACGTCTGCTCAAATAAATATGTGAATAAAAAAAAAACAAATGCAAGAGAAAAAAAACATAAAAGACTGATCATATAAATTATTAATATAATATTCAGTAATGTATTTTAAACAATTTAGACAGAAAGCATGGTTTTACAAAGAATAAAACACATTGCAAAGATGAAAAGTCACATCAATCCAGCAGCACATCTGCTCAAATAAATATGTGAATTTTTAAAAAACAATTTTAAGAAAAAAAAAACACATAAAAGAATAATTATATAAATTATTAATATAATATTCAGAAACTTATTTTAATGAATTTAGAAAGAAAGGATAGTTTTATAAAGAAAAAAAACTTATTGCAAAGATGAAAATTCACATCAATCCAGCAACACATCTGTTTAAAATAAATATGTGATTTTTTTTTAAAAACAAATTTAAGAGAAAAAAAACTAACAAAGACAATCTAACAAATTAACATAAATTAATTTTATAATAATAAATTTAAACTATGTTTCCAATTATATAACAAACATCTCTGAAAAGGTTAATTAAGAAAGAAAACAAACAAACAAAAAACAATTAATTTAGAGTTTTCTGTGATCCCATTGCAAAGAAGCATTTTGGGAAACATAAAGTTCATTTTTATTATCACAATTAGTTTATGGCACAGTTATTAGACTATTAGGTTATTAGGTTATTTTATTAACTTTTGTAGAAAAGTTTAAAACAATATTAAAAACTCTGTTTCCAAAGGCTTTTCACATGGTGCTTAGTTCAAGGCTATTAAATATTCATATGTCCACCTATATTTTGGACTGAATGAAAATCATATTTAAACTGTAAATTCATTGTAATTTGGTCTGTCCTAAATATCTTAGTCATTGTGCAGAAATACAAACACAGGAACACTTACTTTATAACATTTGTCATTCCTTGAACATTTATGAGCACTAGGTTCAGGGTTCATGTCTTTGCACTGGGTTTTATATTGGCCTTCTTGAGCTACACAATGTGGAAAACCTTTCTATCAAAATACCAGCTGATACCCCACACTGAAACAGAATTCACACAGATGTGTGTCATAATGTAACATCGTTTTTTAAACATTGCAGGAGCAATTATAGCTCTTTTAAATTACTGTTCTGAAACACATATGTGCGAATCCTATTCCGAGTATAATTTCAACTAAATTAAACTTTGGAGGAGACCAGGTATGTGACTAACACTTTTTGGCTTCAGCATATATAACTTCTTGGTTTTTTTGAGGTACAGTTTAACTTTGATAAAATGTTTGCTGTAAATGCTGTACATTGAAAAGCTGGACACTTGCAATATACTTATTTTCAATTAATGTGAATTTGAGAAATAAAAAACAAAACAAAACTGTCTGTCACTATGACTGACAGCAACTAAACACACACTTTCTTGAATTTAGGTGTGTGTGAAAAAGAGTCTAAGAGCAAACCTTAACAGTAACAGTGCTTATAGTGCATTCTCTAAAATAAATGTTGATCTGATATAAAACTAAAACCATGATGTTTACATGTGTGCGTGTTTTTCCTAGTATGTGTTCACAGTTTTAATTTGAACCATAATATTAGTAAATTCATTTTGGCATCCCTGCAGTGCAGCAATAATATGAACTGTTAAAAAAAGCACCATATTTTGCTTGAGAAGCTAAATGTTTATCTGGCATTACACTGCAAAAAATAGAAATCTCAATAAGTTATTTTTTCTTAAAATAAGTGTGTTTTTCCTTGATTTGAGGAGGTAAGTAAGACACTTTGCCAATGGAACAAGACAATTTCCTTTTAAAATAAGAAAAAACAATTGTATCTTCTTATTTCAAGTAAATATTATCTAACTATCTTATTTTAAGAGTGAAAATACTCATTCCATTGGCAAATCATCTTATTTACCTGCTCAAATTAAGGCTAAATATACTTAATTTAAGCAATTTTTTACTTATTTCTGGATTGTTTTTGCAGTGTAGTAATGTGCTTCTACACTGCAAAAACAATCCAGAAATAAGTAAAAAATGGCTTAAATTAAGTATATTTAGCCTTAATTTGAGCAGGTAAATAAGATGATTTGCCAATGGAATGAGTATTTTCTCTCTTAAAATAAGATAGTTAGATAATATTTACTTGAAATAAGACGATAAAATAGTTTTTTCTTATTTTAAAAGGAAATTGTCTTGTTCCATTGGCAAAGTGTCTTACTTATCTCCTCAAATCAAGGAAAAACACACTTATTTTAAGAAAAAATAACTTATTGAGATTTATATTTTTTGCAGTGTAGATGTTGCCTTTGGTTAACTCTGAATGTGTTGTTTCTCTTACTTAGATCTGTTGAGTAGGACAAGATCGTGTTATCCCAACAAAAACCTAAGGCACTCACTAGCCATCAAGTGGGTTAAGGTATCCCTTAGGTTCTCAAGTGTGCGCCCTCCTTCTTGGGGGTGTCACTGATAGGCCCATGACACATCCAGAGGGTTCAGCAGTAAATCCCACAGTCCCAGGTTCACTCCCAACAACCATCATCCACTGGAGCCCCTGGCAACATCCACATGCATTTGCACTCATCCTCTGGCATTCCAGCACTGCTGCAAGACCTCTGAGCATTTTTCCAACATCAGGCTGCAGGAAAGGGGGTATGAGAGGGGGGAGACATGCGGGAAAGGACCACAGTCCAGATTCGAACCCTTGTTGTCTGCATTGAGGACTAAGGCCTCCTTACATGGGTCATGTGCGTAAACCACTGCACCACCTGCTTGTCCAAAAGCTCTCTTTTACCTCCTCACCATCTGCTGCAGGTTTGTAAAGATGGCTGGAGGTCTTCAGCAGTAAAGCAGAGTAAATCAAAGTTGTATTTTTTTGTTTACTTCTGGACCTCAGTTGGAAAACCTGGTGGTGCATACAGGACAGAAAGTCTGTTGGACAAAGGTAGCAGTTCTTTGTCAGTTTCTTACCAGCTGCAGTATCTGATTACCAACCTGTGTCAGCAGCAGTCCATCACTGCTGGAGAGGGAAGGTGGTTGCATGCAGACATGAAGGGGAAATTGATCCTGAGAAAGCAATTCAAAGTAAACATTGTAATAACCTTTAACCTTAAACAATGATATGTAATGCACAATAAGTATGTACCTTCAACAGCACTGAGGCAGGTTTAACTTGTAGATGTTGATAAGTCTACAAGCTGTGGACACCTAAGCTTGAAGGATGCATAGAGGAGGGCAGAGGAAGGCCAAGCTGTGGCTTAGAAACTGTTATCTGTAAAAAGAGATTAGTCATGAATATCACAGCACAGTCAGAGTAAAGAAGTGAACATGGATTTAAGATCACCTCTACCTTTTGTCACTTGGAGCAAGAAGACATACACTATATTGCCAAAAGTATTTGCTCACCCATCCAAATTATTGGAATCAGGTGTTCCAATCACTTCCATGGCCACAGGTGTATAAATTCAAGCACCTAGGCATGCAGACTGTTTTTACAAAAATTTGTGAAAGAATGGGTCGCTCTCAGGAGCTCAGTGAATTCCAGCGTGGAACTGTGATAGGATGCCACCTGTGCAACAAATCCAGTCGTGAAATTTCCTCGCTCCTAAATATTCCACAGTCAACTGTCAGCTGTATTATAAGAAAATGGAAGTGTTTGGGAACGACAGCAACTCAGCCACGAAGTGGTAGGCCACGTAAACTGACGGAGCGGGGTCAGCGGATGCTGACGCGCATAGTGCGAAGAGGTCGCCAACTTTCTGCAGAGTCAATCACTACAGACCTCCAAACTTCATGTGGCCTTCAGATTAGCTCAAGAACAGTGCGCAGAGAGCTTCATGGAATGGGTTTCCATGGTCGAGCAGCTGCATCCAAGCCATACATCACCAAGTGCAATGCAAAGCGTCGGATGCGGTGGTGTAAAGCACGCCGCCACTGGACTCTAGAGCAGTGGAGACGCGTTCTCTGGAGTGACGAATCGCGCTTCTCCATCTGGCAATCTGATGGACGGGTCTGGGTTTGGCGGTTGCCAGGAGAACGGTACTTGTCTGACTGCATTGTGCCAAGTGTAAAGTTTGGTGGAGGGGGGATTATGGTGTGGGGTTGTTTTTCAGGAGCTGGGCTTGGCCCCTTAGTTCCAGTGAAAGGAACTCTGAATGCTTCAGCATACCAAGACATTTTGGACAATTCCATGCTCCCAACTTTGTGGGAACAGTTTGGAGCTGGCCCCTTCCTCTTCCAACATGACTGTGCACCAGTGCACAAAGCAAGGTCCATAAAGACATGGATGACAGAGTCTGGTGTGGATGAACTTGACTGGCCTGCACAGAGTCCTGACCTCAACCCGATAGAACACCTTTGGGATGAATTAGAGCGGAGACTGAGAGCCAGGCCTTCTCGTCCAACATCAGTGTGCGACCTCACAAATGCGCTTCTGGAAGAATGGTCAAAAATTCCCATAAACACACTCCTAAACCTTGTGGACAGCCTTCCCAGAAGAGTTGAAGCTGTTCTAGCTGCAAAGGGTGGACCGACGTCATATTGAACCCTATGGATTAGGAACGGGATGTCACTTAAGCTCATATGTGAGTCAAGGCAGGTGAGCAAATACTTTTGGCAATATAGTGTATCTCCATCTGATCCAGCAGAAGGAACCATGCCAGGATGTGTTTTTTTCTTTCTTACACTGCAAAAAATATAAATCTCAATAAGTTATTTTTTCTTAAAATAAGTGTGTTTTTCCTTGATTTGAGGAGATAAGTAAGACACTTTGCCAATGGAACAAGACAATTTCCTTTTAAAATAAGAAAAAACTATTTTATCGTCTTATTTCAAGTAAATATTATCTAACTATCTTATTTTAAGAGAGAAAATACTCATTCCATTGGCAAATCATCTTATTTACCTGCTCAAATTAAGGCTAAATATACTTAATTTAAGCCATTTTTTACTTATTTCTGGATTGTTTTTGCAGTGTAAGTCCAGCAGGTGGTGAGCTGGGCGCTGACTGGACGCTTTTATCTTTTGCTGGGAGGAAAGACTGAGACATGAGGATGCTGGAAGTTCTATTTTTCTGTTCTGTTTTGATTTGAAACTTGTTGTAGTTGAGACGATGTTGAAGTAAGGTTTGCTGAAGTTGGTAGAGAATGTTGTGATGGAGTACACAGGAGCACAGGTCTCTTGTCTGAAGAAAACACACCTGAACAATTCTAGATAAAACAGAATTATAGTTCTTTCATTAACCATCCCACCCCCAACCCACTATGCCCTCCACCCCAGTGGGGTATCAGCTGGTATTTCTTATTGGTACATCAGGAAGCCTTTGTTTTACATAGTGTACAGCTTCCTAATGTTTTCATAATTAACTCTGAGCACT